GAAGACATTCTACATCTAGTTTGAAGAGTAGCAGGGAGGATTTAAAAGCTTGTGAACAATTGGTCTTTCCCTATATGGAGTAAAAAGGAGTGAAGAAAATCAAAGACAGATGAAGGCAATTAGTCCTAGGACTGAATGGACCATTAACTTTAGTCTCCATGACTGTAGTAGTTAGATGATTTTATGTCAGCTTGAAGATTTGTTGAAGTGTAGCGGTAGAAGGCAAGTTGTCAATCAAATCCCAGCCTGGGATGCTACCTTGGGAGTGTGGCTTTTTTTATAATGGGGAAACTGAGAACCTCCCTCTCTCTCTGCCTCTGAGGCTTCCTGCTTGATGGGACTCAGCAAGTGACCTTGAGAACTGACTGGACCCTGCCATGTTTCCACCAACTTTGGATCCCTGTCGCTCTGCACCCTCTGGCCTGTGTGTGATCTTCCTTCATTGTGCACCCTTACATGTAGATATGGCTCTATGAGACTGAAGAGGAACTTATGGACAAGTACCAGACTTACGGATTTGAGTTGGACTGGGCCCGAATGCCTTCTTTATAGGTATAATTACTTATTGATGTAAAGTTCTTTCTTCTACATACTGGTGTCACTGGATTTGTTTCTGTAGACAACCCAGCCTAACACAATGACCCTGAGACCAGAAGAGCTAGATGGTGCTCAGGGACCACTGCTGACAACTCTGAGAAGGATCCTGGGTACAGTAAGGGGAAAGTGTAGGAAATAAATCATTCCCAAAAAAAGACTCATTATACTGATAGAGACTTGTGAAACAGTCTATGGCCTTTAGTTACCCTTCAAGCCTGGAAGTGCATGAACTCAACCCCATGATGCAACTTTGAGCCAAACAAGAGAGAGATCTATAAGTGAACTGTGGCACCAAGGAAGTATGTCCTCCTTAGAATGATAACTCATATGAGATACAAAGGACAGCATTTGTCTAAGGATCAAGTTCATAAGACAGGAAGAAATAGGAAGGATGAATGAAAGGGAATACAGGGAAAAGGAGAGATGCATGCTGTTACATTGTGGAGATTGAAACCAATGTCATGA